AAAAGATGTGATGTTTTTACAAATGGAGTACTACTCAGCTACGAAGAAGGATACACTCAAGGCTTCTATAAGTGAATGGGAGCAACTAGGGACCATACTCATAAGTGAGTAAATCAGATTCACATGTAAACATCACATTGTGTCCCTGTGTAAGAGGCTGAAAAAGCAAATGCAACCCAAAATCTACAATCGACACTGTGAAAGGGAAAGAAAACATTCAAAGAGAGAGAACTGGAACGGGTAAAAGGAGAAAAGGAGAAGAAAACAAACAAACAAACAAACAAACAAAAAAATATATATATATATACACACACATAAAAAGGAGTAAGATATACTATGATTTCTTTTAATTCACTGAAAAAGTTTGTGTTTATATTGTTTGATCAATTACACATGCCTATATCTTGTGATCTGAGCAACTACTTGTTTTTTTTTAATTTTTTAAAATTTTATTTAAAGAAAGACTAAACAAAACAGAAAATAGGTAGAATTAGTACATACGCTCAGAGAAAAAAATAAGCAGTAAGAAATCACTAGTTGATGTTTACATATTGTCATGTTACAAATAGTTGTTCAAGATATAAAAATGGAACATGTAAAGTGGGATTTCAAACAGCGAGACTGCAAACAGTTCTGTTCAACTGTCCAACAAAAACTTAGTAACATGGTTGTCAATCCTACACTTAAACATACATGCAGTTATCCATATCTTCATTTATGTTTAGATTAAACAAACTAAGCAGGTTAAAATCATTCTGAACAAAGAATAATAGTATTTCTGGATTTCACATCATGACACTCCAGGATCAGCACTGGGTATTTTAGTGTCTCTTTTTCTTCAAAGTATCTGTTCATTTCATCATGTGTCATAAGATCAGTTCTCATAAACTGTTTATAGATTCTACATAGGTATGAGTCTTAACATGTATTTCTATCCTTTCTATATTACAGGGAGAAACAAAACAAAGCAAGGCAAAACAAAACATATTCCTATAAACACATGAAATGAAATAAACATATAAGACTGTTGTACAAAGAGTTCTACCATGGTTCTTGAGTTGTCTCTTGTTATCTCCAATAGAATTGGCTATATCATCATAGTATACTTGAATATGTAAGTACATAACAGTATTAATAAAAATACAACTTTGTATATAGTATAGAACTTCAAAAACTGGCAGCTATCAAACCAGAATGTGTATCATGGAGTCTTGTCATCTTCAGTGTAGTTGCCTATACTCTCAGACTTGATACTATCAATCATATCAGTTTTGTCTTTTTTTTTTTTCTTTTTTATCGGTACTGGGGATCGAACTCACGACTGCCTGCTTGCAAGGCAGGTGCTTATGCCACTGAGCTAAATCCCCAGCCCCAATCATATCAGTTTTGAATAAAATCTTCTCTGCCTCATTTCTGTTATGCTCTTTTTTGGCCATCAGTTGTCTGTTTATCTTCTTCATTCTGTTTTCTGCTCCATGCATTGAGGCCTGTCTGCCACTGTTCCTGGAATCCTAGTACTTTTCTTTCTCTCTAGAATGCCCTGCAGTATTCTCTGTAGAGTTGGAATGGTGGTTGCGAATTTCCCAAGTTCCTCTTTGTCTTGGGAGCATCTTGTTTCTCCATTAATTTCTAGAGACAGTTTAGCAGGGTATATCAATCTGAGATGGAGGTTATTTTCTTTCGGGGCTTGGAATATTTCGCTCCAGGCTCTTCTTGACTTGATGGTTTGTGTCGAGAAGTCTGCCATTATTCTGATGGGCCTTCCTTTATAGGTGACCTGTTTCTTGTCTCTGACAGCTTTTAATATTTTGTTCTTATATTGAATTTCTGGGATCTTGATTATTATATGCCTGGATGTAGCTCTGTTTTGGCTGTAGGTGGCCGGAGTTCTGTATGCCTTATACATCAGAATATCATTTCCTTTTCCTATGTTTGGGAAGTTTCCCTTAATTATTTCTGTGAATAACCTTTGTAGTTCCTTTGTTTGTATTCCTGCTTCTTCATTCACATTTTTTATTCTCAAGTTATAGATCCTCTTGTCATCTTCTAGCCTTTGTATTGTTACTGCTTATTTCCTTGTTATTTTTAAAAAGTTTTCCCTTTCATACTCCCACATTGCAAAATTGTTCTCCAGTTTGGATAATCTATCCTTAGTTTCTTTCAAGCTGATTTCCATCTTTCCATAGAGTTTTTAATTTCCTGGTAATCTCTTTGAATCTGCTTCATATATTCTATATTTTGTTTATATTCTTCACCAAATGGTTCTCTCCTTTGAGTCCCTCCCTTCTTCCGTCTGTATTTGCTTGAGGGTTGCTTAGTATCTCTTTTATTAATCTTCTTATATCTTGGGGGCTGAGGATTTAGCTCAGTGGCTTAAGTGCCTGCCTTGCAAGTGAGCGGTCATGAGTTTGATCCCTGGTACCGAAAAAAATTTTTTTAAAAAATCTTCTTATATCTTGCTTTATTTGGCTAAATATTTCACGTTTGAACTTATCTATGAGGCCCAAATATATCTCTTTATGTCCACTGGCACTATGTCTGATATTGCATGTTTACTGTTCTCATTCTCCTTTGTATTTACCTGTCCTGGGTCAATGTTCTCAGGGTTGGGGCCTGGGGACTTTTTGTTGTTGCTTCCTCTTCTCATCGTTTTTTGCTTCTTCCATGAGGCCCCAGTTTCTTTCTTTGTTGGTTACAATTCTTCTGAAGCGTGCTGGCTAGATGACCGTTCACACTGCTGTGTGCTAGTGAGTTGCAGACAGGGACAGCGTATGCCAGTCCCTCCCCTCCGGATCAGTCAAGCTGCTGTGGCCTGAACTGTATTACTTTGCACCGCCTTCCTTCTGGACCAGCCAAACCTCCGAGGCCCCTCTGGGCCAGTGTGGTTAGTGTGCACCACTGCTGCAGGGACTTGACCTCGGAAAACCTATTGGGTCTCAGCCGGGTCATGTGGCCCAGGCCTGGCTCACTCCACCGATCCCATTCGGGAAGGGAACAAGGGACTGGAGTCCCTGCTGCCCCTGGTACTTGCCAGTCCTGCCCGGTCCCAGGATGTCATCAGCCGGAGCCCCCCTATTTGTGGAGTGGCTCCACTCCCGTCACTCACCACAGGTTGATGTAGGCTCCCCCCCAACTCAGCCCTCCGTTCGGCTTGCTGACCCCCAAACTCAATGTAACTGCGCCTCCAGTGAGTCGAAGCGGCGGGACCTCAGATGGCTTGGTAAGTCGCCTTAATTTCTTCTTGGGCTGAGAGAATTCATCTCCCTCTGTTCGGGGCTCCCCACTTTGTATTATGTTGAACTCTACGTTGACTATCTCAGGGAGCCTCGTAGCCAGCTGTTACCTATCCGCCACCTTTGCTTCTCCCTCCTGCACAAGTACTTTGAAGATAACCACGTGCAGTGTATTAACCATTGTTGATTTCCTGTCTTGTTTTGAAATTCTGTATCATTGTTTTCACTGGGTTTTTTTTCCTCTTTAAAGTAAAAAACAAAAAACAACAACAAAAACAGAAATGGAGTGGAATAGAGTAAAATGAGGTGGGCTGGGATGGGAAGGCCTGCCCTGGCACGGAATGGAGGGGGGAGAGGCGGGGGACATGGGGAAGAACGGTGGCCTCTTTAATCAGCGGTGCCGGAAAGCTTGCTCTGCCTGTGGAAGATGAACCAGGGCCCGTGTCTCTCACCGTGCACTAAGCTGAAATCAAACGGATCGAAGAGCTTAACATTAAGACAGAAACATGAAATCTGCTGAAGACAGTGGATGAGAACTCTTGAAGACACAGATAGAGGCAAAGACTTTATGAACAAAACCCGGATTGCACAGGAATTCACAAAGAATCAACCACTGGGATCTTATTAGAGTGCACAGACAATCCACAATGTAGGAGAAAATGTCTTTCAGCTGTGCCTCAGACAAAGGATCACTATGGAGAACATATAAAGAGCTCAAAACAATCAGTCCCCCCAGATTTAAAGATCCAATCTAAAAATGGGCATCTGAGATGAATACACACTTCTCAGATGAAGACACACAAACAGTAAATAAATATGTGAAAAAATGTTAAACATCACTGGTATTTTTAGAGATGCAAATTAAAACAACACTGAGATTCCACCTCACCCAAGAAAGAATAGCTATCATCAAAAAAATCAAGCAATAACAAATGCTGGAGGGGCTGTGGGGGAAAAGGAGCCCTTCTGCACTGTTGGTGGGAGTGTAGCCTGGTGCAGCCACTGTGCAAATGAGTGTGGAGATTCCTCAAAAACTAGGATTGGAGGTCCCATTTGACCCAGCCATTCCCCTTCTGGGTATCTTCCCAGAAGAATTAAAAACATCATACCACAGTGATGTATATGCACCCATGTTTATAGCAGCACAGTTTGTAATAGCTGGATGTTAGAAACAATCTATATGCCCATCAACTGAGGAATGGATAAAAAAGATGTGATACGTTTATACAAGGGAGTACTACTCAGCCATAAAGAAGGATAAACTGGAGACTTTTATAGGTAAATAGATGTAATTCAAGTATGCCCTAGATGATTTAGCAAAACCTTGTCTCAAAATAAAAGTAAGGCTCAGTGCAAAGGTGCTGGGTTCAGTACCCAGTAGGAAGGAAAGGAGGGAGGCAGGCTGGCTGGGGTTGCAGCTCAGTGGCCGCGCCCTTACCTAGCATGTGCAAAGTCCCTGTTCCATCCAAACCGAACTCATAAGATGAGGTACAGCCTGATCCATTTACACAGCATTCTGGAAAAAGCAGACGCTGGGCGGGGAAGGAGGGGGAGAAAAACAGTTCTGGGGGCGGCGAGAGGGTGCAGAAACGCAGAGGTCAGGGGTCAGCGGGGTCCTCTCCCTGCTGGGGGACAGGAACCGCGCAGCCCGCCCGCCGTGCGTGTGTGCACGCGGCTGGCTCGCGACCCCCGCTGCTCACCGAGCTCAGCTCTGCAGCCCTGGGGCCCGGGGCTGGGGTCCGTGCACGGGGCGGGGTGCCCCGGCCCTGCCTGCTCCCCTGCACAGCCGTGCACGCTCCTGGCTCCCCAGGGCGAGTTCTGCACTGTGGAGAATTAGAATTGACTGCTAGAACTAAATTAAAACATCTGTAAACAGTGCCTTTTTTTTTTCTACACGAATGGTAAAAAAACACTTTTTCCTGTCACTTTCATGAAAAGCTTTTTATTTTTTGTTTTTCCTGATGCTGGGGAACCTCATCCAGGGCCTCACACATGCTAGACAAATGCTCTTCCAGAGCTATGAACCCAACCTTCTTCCCTTTTTAATGGTTGTTATGGTTTATATCCAAATGTCCTTCAAAAGTCATGGAGGCTTGCATGGTGACACACACCTACAATTTCAGTGCTAGGGAGGCTGAGGCGGGAGGATCACTGCGAGTTTGAGGCCAGCCTGGGCTACACAGTGAATTATAGGCGTGGGATCTACCATGTCCAGTCGGACATTTAGGCTTCCAGCAGAAGATGAGCAATGCCTAACAGCCTTGTCCATGAGCGGAGAGGACCATGAGAGAATCATCTGTGCCATCATGAGGGCTCTGCCTGGCGCCTACCAACATCACAGGAGGCGGCAGAGAGTCTCCCAGTGTCCGATGCCAACCTCAGACCCCGTCTACCACAACACCTGCAGATAATGACAAATTTAACTTTTACCAGATAAAAGTTTTGATCAGATATTTATCAGATAGAGTTAAATTTAACTTTGTCCTTTCCTGTACATATCTCTCACCTGAGCATTCTGGCTTGGCTTAAAATGTTCTACTGGACACGGTGGACAGTTTTAGAATCCAGCAAGTCATGATTTTCTCCACCTCGCTGTATGACCTGTGCCTCCCCCAGAGGTCTCTCTGTCCATACACGCCGGACAGTGGCAAGCATCCAAGCCAACGGAAGTCCTTGCTGGTGTTTGTAGATACAGAAAACAATCAGACCACTGGGCTCTGCTGGATATGGGCAGCAGCCCAAAGTTCAAGCAGACAGGTGGGCATAATACCAGGGCTTGCTGCTCTGAAATCCAGCTGCCTCTGAAATCTGCCCTGGCTGGGTCTACTTCCTTACCACACAGGGCGAGGCTTGTGTCTTTTCAGGCCTGATGTGTTTTGCTTTGTTTTGTTTTGTTTTGTTTGAGACAAGATCTCACTAGGAATTCCAGGCTGCCCTTGAACTCATGGCAATCCTCCTGCCTCAGCTTCCCCAGTTCTGGGAAACAGGTGTGTGCCACCGTGCCTGGCTTATCCCTGGCCTGAGTTTAAGCTTCTCATGGGTCTTTATGTAGCCCAGGCCCCTCCGGAGCTGTCTCCTGTGACTGTATCTCACCCAGCCACTGTGTGGGGGAACCCTGGAATCCCCAAAGGGATCTGGTTGTCCTGTGACTTAGTCTTAAACAATTAACACTTTCCCCAAATGGTGCCTTTTTTAACCTGCTCTGGGCCACAGCAGGTACCCCACTGGGTCTCATCTCCAACTCTAGCCTGCTGTGAAGCACTCACTTACACTGTTTTATAGTTTAGAACAGTTGGGGCTTTTCTTGGGCCAGCGCAGGCCCACTATTTCTGGAGCTGCTAATCTACAACCAGGTCAGTCAGTTGTTTCTCACCTCTGCAGCCCAGTGCTGGGCAGAGACACAGTGTGAGTGGGCTGGGAGCTGGCAGGTGGCACCAGCTGGGCTGGGGACCTGAGCTGCCTTTAGGAAAGACAGTGACAGCTGGCACAGAACCAAGCGTGTGCTGAGTCGTGCACACCACAGCGAGGTGAGGGTGCAGATCAAGCGATCCGAACATTGCTGTGGACAGCAGCGAGGCAGGAACCGGGAGCGGCAGCAAGGCCCCCAGGGGCAGCTAGGTCTGACCTGCCAGGAGCAGGTGGGACAAGGGTGGCCCCTGCCACGTACCCTCCCCGGATGCCTGCGTTGGGCCGGAATCACATTATGAGGGGTCAGCAACAGAACTAAAGAGCCAAGAGCAGCTGCCTCACCTGCACGAGAGCCCTTTAGCCCTGGGCATTTAGCGGGCAGTCCAGCAGCAGCGGTGATGCCCAGCCCCACCCAGGTGCAGCTCAGATCCGCCAAGGTCCTGGAGTCCGAGTGCTCTCCGACCGTGATGGGACTCACGTAGCACAGCAGAAGCAGCTCCCAGCAGAGAGCACCCAGCTTCAGCACGGGGTCCAGTCTGAGCCACTTGGATCCCTGAATGCCAGGCTTCGGGCCAGGGCCGGCTGCTCCCCACCAGGAGTGGGAAGAGGCCAGGAGCCGGGAAGCTTCCCCTCAGGCAGCTGGGAACCTCACATTCAGGACTGGCCAAACAATGGCTTTGCCATATTTCAGTGAGTCAGTGTCAATCTGGTGACCCCCACCACAGCCACTGCTGCCTCAGGGGTCCCCATGACCACCCCCGGGTTTGCAGATCGGCTGGGAGGACTCCCAGGACCCAGCTTTGGCCACACCAGGGCTGAGATTTATTATAGCAAAAGAACAGAAAGAGACATCAGCATGGAGTCATACAGGACCTGCAGAGTCAGAGACAGGGACAAAGTCAGATCCCTGCCCGCCCAAGCGTTGGTGCCACCCCAGGCCGGGCCCAGCGAACCCTGACCTGTGCGCAGGCCTGGCTCCAAGCATGGAGCACAGCTAAGAAGGAACAAGCCGTCAGCCGGCCTGGGGAGGTAGCGCCAGGTGGCACTGAGCCCTTCCCTGCCACTGGAGGCTTCCGGGTCTGTATGCCCCACCCCAGCTTTCCTGGCGGGAAGCGGACTGGGGAGAAGTCTGCACACCCCAAAGGCCAGGCAGAATAAATGGACACCTTCCGCCTGACCATCCCAAAAAGCGGGAAATGTGGATAGGTAGATGAGAGGCAGCTTCAGAGTCTAACGGGAAGCCCACCGGGGGTGCGTGCCTGTATCCCAGTACTTGGGAGGCCGGGGCAGCAGGGGCACCACGAGTGTGAGACCTGCCTGGGTTACAAGTGCATTCAAGACCACCCAGAACTACACAGACCCTGCTCCCCAAACAAGAACCCTAACAGGTGGAGTCTGGATCTGGGTTCTCACCAGCTGGGTCTGTCTCCCCATCTCTCAGGCAGGAACACCCACAACTCCCATTGGTAGGAGGACCACACAGCAATTACAGTGAGAATGCCAGGTGGGGATAACCTGGGTCGGACAGTCCAGTTCTGCTCTGCCACTCGTCAGCTGCTTGGGTCACCGTCCTGGGCCCCACCTCCAGGGCTGCGGGCCGAGGTATCTGTTGTCAAAGCAGTGGCAAGAGTTTCAAGGAGCAGGTGTGCAGCAGGTCCCAGGGGTGTCCTGGAGCCCCTGGAAAAATGCCAGCAGTCACCCCACCATCCTGGGAAGGCAAGACCCGAGGGTTTGGGTGGGGGATACTGGGGGGCAGCCCTGGGCCTTCTGCTTCCCAGGGCCGCCTGCTCTGCCTTCCTAGTGCTCAGGACCACTGGCTCCTGGGCAGGGCCAAGAGCACCTCTATCCACTGCCCAGTTATAGCCATGCACCTGAATGCAATCCCCATCTCCCCCTTTGAATCGCAAAGAAACAACAAATCATAAAAATGAACGGACTCTACACTATGTCCCCAATCCTATTTCAAAGACGTGTGCTTTAGCTCACAGAATGCCATCATGCTGTTATCGTTCCCATTTTACAGATGAGGAAAACTGAGGCTCAGAGGAGCTGCTGACTTTCCTTGGTCACGCAGTGAGGTGCAGAGCCAATGGCAAACCCCTGTACCCATGCCCTTACCCATCGCAGGGCACAACCCCTCTGCCTTCAGTCTAATCTGTGTGTTGGCTCTGCCAGAGGAGCTTCGAGCCCCCCATCATCACCCAAGTCCCTCCAAATAGCAAAGCTGACCGCTGACATTATCCCCCACCCCATACCCAAGAGTGCCAAGACCTCTGAGCTTTGGATCTGGACAGCAAAGATCACAGTCCTCACCCAGGTCTTGGACTTGGCTTCTGCCCCAGACTGGCCGGTGGATAGAGACAAGCGCCACCCCTTTCCGGGCCTGGCAGCGTGGCCCTGGGCTCTGCAGCCACCAGGCAGGGCCTTTCGGAGGAGCTCTGGTCCCCGCCCCGCGCCCCCACCCCCAGGCCAGGAGGTGCGGGGCGGGCCCACCGGTGGTAAATAGTTCTGCCCAGCAATGCCCTGGCCTCCTGGCACAGTCTCCTGGGAAGCGAGACCGAGACCAGCCATGGTAAGGGGCTCCTGGGCCATGGTAAGGGGAGACCTCCCGAAGCCCCGGGCTGGACCGCCCAATCTCACTGCCCCTTTCTTTCTGTCTCCCCAGACTACTTACAGCGACAAAGGGGAAAAGGTAAGCAGGAGGGGAGTGGGGCCAGGGCTGGGGACAGCGGGTGGGGACAGAGACTGGGACAGCAACCCAGAGCACGAGGGGTCATGACAGCGGACGACTGAGGCCAGCCTGTGCGCAGGCTCAAACTGACCCCAGCTCACTGTCCCGGCTGGATCCAACTTCCCCTACTGAGAAACTGACTTCTTACATCGCTGCGTACCCTTGATCTTGACTGGAAGTTCTTGTTAAAGTCTACCTTAAATGCATGCTGCTCTAGCTGGCCATGGTGGCACACGCCTATAATTTCAACATTTAGAAAGCTGAGGCAGGAGGATCTCCAAGAGTTCAAGGTCAGCCTAGACTACATCGTGCGACCCTGTCTCCAACAAACAAAAAATTCATGCTGCTCCAACACAACGCTATTTCCTTCCTGGAAACCGGACAGGCTTTCCCAGGGGGCTCTGCGTCCTGAATCCCCAGAGCTTTCTTTCCACATGAGGTGCATTTTATGAGGCCAGGGAAGGTGGGGTTCAGCTCCTCCTAGGACTGAGCAGCGGTAAGGGAAGGAACAGAGGACCCCTCTCCACTTTTGAGATCTCGGTTCACCCCTTGTCTCCTCCTGCAGCCCGAGAGAGGCCGCTTCCTCCACTTCCACTCGGTGACCTTCTGGGTGGGCAACGCCAAGCAGGTAGCAGCCCCGAGGGGTCAGCGGGTCAGCGCGGCCGGGCAGCTGGGATTGGCTCCTGGGAGGGAGGGGCGGCCGAGCCTCATTGCGCAATCAGAGGTCAAGGGGTCAGGAAACTCCTCCCAGGGCCCAAGGCCCAGGGCCAGAGGGGGAGGGGAGGGGCGGAGCTCTCTTGGGGGGGGCTGGGTCCCAGGAACATGCTCTGCCCTCAGCCGCCCCGCTGCCCACCCCGCTGCCCCTGTCCTCCAGGCCGCCGCCTTCTACTGCAGCAAGATGGGCTTCGAGCCACTGGCCTACAGGGGCCTGGAGACTGGCTCGAGAGAGGTGGCGAGCCACGTGATCAAGCAGGGGCAGGTGGGTCCTGCCAGCGCCCCCTGGACCCGCATCTTCGCCTTGTGCACACCTGCTTCCCGATGCACAGTGGTGCACACCCGTAATCCCTGCACACTGGGAGGCTGAGACAGGAGGGTTGCAGGTTTGAGCCCAGACTGGGCAACTTAGGGCATTGTCTCAAAATGAAAAGGAGGAGGGCTGTGGCTCAGTGTGAAGGTCCTGGGTTCAAACAAACAAACAAACAAACACCAAATGCACAGCCTGGCTGACTTCAGGATGCGCAGTTCAGCCCCACAGGGTGGATTTCCAGGTACCTGTGGGCAGCCTTGCAGCAGAGACCTTCCTGGTTCTGCCTCCTCAGCCCGGCCCAGCACTGGCCAATCAGAGGAACAGGGGGTTTAAGCAGGGGGATCCCTGTGCTTCAGGCCCCAGGCAGGACCAGCAACGGATGGCTCTAAGGCCACAGGTCCAGAGGGCCACGGAAGCAGGGGCGAGCCACACCCCGAGGTCCAGGGTCCCACGAGGGTGGGTCTCGGGTGCTCCTGGGTGGGGTGCTCTGAGCCGCTGCCCACAGCCTCTCCTGTGTTTTAGATTGTGTTTGTCTTCTCCTCGCCACTGAATCCCGGGAACAAAGGTGAGGCCCTGGGGTGGCGGCGTGGGCAGTGGATGCCAGGCTCAGCAGGGGGGCCCACATCAGCGTCCCCTGCCGTCCACAGAGCTGGGTGATCACCTGGTGAAACACGGTGACGGCGTGAAGGACATCGCCTTTGAGGTGGAGGACTGTGACTACATCGTGCAGGTGACAGTGGCCGGCTGAGCAGGGCAGGGTACAGAGGGCGTGGCCGGCCCGGCTGTCCAGGAGCCTGGCCAGCTGGGACCCCTGAGCCCCAGGGACAGCTGGCTGCCCTTTTCCAACTGTGTGTCCTCGTTCTGAGCCTCAGTTTCTACACATGTAAAACAGAGACTCACAGCGCTGGCTTCTGTGAGTTGCTGACAGGAGATAGATGGCACTGTCCGTTTCTGGAGCCTAGAGGGGCCAGGGGAGGTGGGACACGCTGATAAGCCCAGCACGCCAGAGGCTGAGGCAGGAGGGTCATATGAGTTTGAGGCCTGTCTGGACTACACAGCAAGGTCCTGTCTCAAAAAAAAAAAAAAAAAAAAAGTCAATTTGTGTTCCCCTTATTCAACCTTTTTTTTTTTTTTTCTGATACCAAGGACTAAGCCCCAGGGTGCTGTACCACTGAGCTAAATCCCCAGCCCTTTTTACTTTGAGACAAAGCCTCACTAAGTTGCCAAGGCTGGCCTTGGACTCATGGTGATCTTCCTGCCTCAGCCTCCCAAGTCACTTGGATGACAGGCGTGAACAACTAGCCCACCCAGTCATTTTAGAGAGAAACTGAGGCCTGAAGAGGGAACAAGGCCACAGAGTGAGTTAGGAGAGGCAGGGCCGACCCCATTTCCCACAGAATTTGTCACCCTTTACCCCAGCTCTGAGCCTGAGCCTCAGTCTCTCAGTGGTCCTGGGACACAGGCGTGGCTCGGGTGGGGGGATAGCTGAGGCTGGCTGGGGTCTCTGATTGAGTCAAGGCTGCCCAGCAAGAGCAGCTGCAGGACCTGGGGCCCCACCCTCAGGGCTCCCCCCATCTCTCCCCTGCAGAAAGCCCGGGAACGGGGCGCCAAGGTGGTACGGGAGCCGTGGGTGGAGCAGGACAGGTTCGGAAAGGTCAAATTCGCTGTGCTGCAGACGGTAAGTTGGTGTCCCCAGGCACCTCTGGTGCTGTCGGAAGCCACTGAGATGCGGGACCCCGAATGCACCCCACGACCATGGCGTCCCTCTGGTGTGGCCTCCCGCATGATGCCTGACCAGAGTGCAGGGACCAACAGGAGCCACCAGCCACCTGCTCTGGACACCCCTGGGTCCCCAGGGATGGTGGGGAGGGGACAGCAAGGGTTTGCAGAAAGGAAGCCGAGCCCCACACGGGCCATGCCTCTGTGGGCAACCGCTGACCCCCCAGGGCAGCCAGGCCGTTAGCATAGGACAGCTGGCAGCGCTCAGAACCCGGAGCGACTCGCCCAGGGGTGGGGTGCAGAGTGGGGGGCTGAGCCGGCTGCTTCCTACCCGCCCCCCCTGCAGTACGGAGACACCACCCACACGCTGGTGGAGAAGACTGGCTACACGGGCAGCTTCCTGCCTGGGTTCGAGGCCCCGAGAGTCAAGGACTCCCTGCTCTCCAAGCTGTGAGTGGGGCAGGAGGTTTGGTCCTTCTCCTTGGGGCCTGGGCTTCCGGTGGGCGCACAGAGGTGCATGGGGCTGTGGTTCTGGGACCAGGCTACCCGGGTTCGAATCCCACCTCTGTTACCCTTTACAGTCACGCAACCTCAGTGGGTCACCTTAACAGCGCGACTTTACAAAAAAGCTAAGCGTGAGCTGTGATTATGCAGAGGTCAGTGTGGAGGCAGAGATGCACAACCTTCTCACCCCCGAACTCCTTCCCTTTCCCAGCCCCAACTGCGGCCTCGAGATTATTGACCACGTCGTGGGAAATCAGCCTGATCAGGAGATGCTGTCTGCCTCGGAATGGTGAGCACCACCGGGGGACGGACCCATGCCAGTTCCCGCCCTGAGGAGGGGAGAAGAACAGGAGGTGGCAGGAGGCTAACCTGAGCCTACAGAGCCCTTTATCCACTGGAAACTCCCCCTAAAAGACCAGAGGAGGCTGGGCCGAGCTGACACAGTAGGCTGAGGCAGGAGGGTCCTCTTAAATTCAAGCCCTGGCCTGAGCTCTGTAGTGAGTTCAAGGCCAGCCTGAGCTCCATAGGGAGACCTTGTCTCAAAAACAAAACAGAACAAGAAAACAGATTTTGTTACAAGATGCTTGATGTGTACAAACGATTGCTGTCCCCGCTCTGGACCCTGTTGGGGACATTTCCCACAGGGAGGAATGGAGGGGCCCCCTCCCAGGCTGGCACTCAGGACAATATGTCCCGCTGGCCACGCGCAGGTACCTGAAGAACCTGCAGTTCCACCGCTTCTGGTCCGTGGACGACACGCAGGTGCACACGGAATACAGCTCCCTGCGCTCCATCGTGGTCACCAACTACGAGGAGTCCATCAAGATGCCCATCAACGAGCCAGCCCCGGGCAGGAAGAAGTCTCAGATCCAGGTGGAGCCGACCTGGCCGGGCAGGGAGGGGCGGAGGGCGCGTCCAGGGCCGGCGCTGCAGTGACGAGACGCAGGACAGCGGTCTCCTCGCTTGGCCTTCTAGGAATACGTGGATTATAACGGGGGCGCCGGAGTCCAGCACATCGCTCTGAAGACCCAGGATATCATCACTGCGGTTAGAGCCTGGCTCCTGGCCGAGTCCCCCCTCTTGTCCCAGGGGCAATCTCTGCGACGGAGAGGGCGGGCAGGGCTCCCTGCCCAGTTCCTGCCACTAGGGTGCAGGCCTCACCCCAGCTCAAGCTCTGCAGAACGAGATGGGCTCTGGAGGTGGCAGGGCCCGAGGGAGGGACTGTGATCCTGGGCCTGGCTGTGTGTCTCTGGGAGTTCGTGCCCTCTCTGAGCTGGAGCTGCCCGACTGTGAGAATGAAGATGTTAGATTACAGAATGCGCTGTGTCCTT